CGCAAGCTTTCAGCCAACGGCCCAACTTAAGTCTGGTGCCTCCCAAAGGTACGGTTGACCGGAAGAACTGACGATTGTGTGTGAAGATAAACTCTGAAGGATAGTCGGTTCATATCAACAACGTATATGTCACGCTACTGGTCTCAAGCAATTGAGGTAAACTAACTAAATAATTATTTTTTTGTGTGTAAGGGAACCAAATTGAACATTGTCAGTTGTTGTCGATGAGAATTCATAGGCCAAACCACGGTTTGCGCGATGTGTTTTCTTTGTGTGTTTGTGTATACATCTCATTCCCTGGACAATTCGTTGCTTTCCAACCTGTTAAGGGCTATTATCCGTGATGAAAGATTTTTTCTGTTCTACTGAACAGCTGTTGTTTTAACTAATCAGTTGTTCGCAGCACTTTTACCGGGACTCAAAACGCAATTCATTGGGTCAGACGTTGTGTTACGCTGTTGACATACAACAAGGATTCTTCTTCTGAGGCAATATAACATTGCATAGGTGGCAAGTAAATAGCAGTGTAGATTTACACTTCCCCAGGGGAATTTGGAAGCGAATTACCATGTTCAAGTCAAGTCAGGGAATCGCTTTGTGCACCTCGAAGCATGGATATTCAGCAACCGCATAACCGCAGTGTGTCAACAATGTTAAAAAGCGAAATGTAACACAGTAATTAAAGGAAGTGAAACGGACAGCAACATCAAAAGACCAATGGCATACCAGGATGTTTATGATTGGTTTAATTTATCACTTTGAGCAGATTTTCTGCAACGAGTTTGTAAGAGATCTGGCGGGATACGGTACAATACAGTGCCTTTAGGCTTCAGTGCGTGCCTTTATAAGCTTATGATTGGAACGTGTGAATGAATAAGAAAGACACAGAGTAATCGCAGGTTAAATGGTACGAGAACTATCAGATAAAACAACTGCTTGGATGACGTTTTAGAGGACTTGTGGTAGTGTACCACTACATTCTGCACCAGATGTTCTCGTGGTATAAGACTACATGCCAGCGGAAACTTGAGGGATCAGAAAATGAGTTTGCGGTTCTTGTTAAAACGACCGGGGAAGAGAACAGGGGACCCATAAAACCAGTGAGGCAAAACGCATGCAAAAATAAAAAGCCTCGTGGGACGATTTGGGATATAAAGTTATTTAAGACGTGAAACATAAAAAGTGAGCCTTCTGACCTTTATAGAACGTTATTGACGTGGTCAGATCAAGTGAGGTTACGGTTGAAAATAACGCCAAGTTATTTGACAGACGGTCGTCGATCTATTTTGTCACTGCAGATAAATAAAGGCAGACTGGCATTTGGTAATTCGTCATAATTTTAACCTTTCAAAAGGGAAAATATTATGTCATTACATTTTTGGGGGTTCATACGGAGGTTCCTTTGTTGAGACTACTCAACTATTTTTGACTTGTCTTTTTGTAGAGTGGTCTGAAATGATGACTTGGGGTAGGAAAGTCAGAATATTATATGGTCTGCATACTTAACAAAAAGAGAAGAATTGCTCACAGGCAAAGAGGAAATATAAGCGGAAAATATAAAAGGGGAAAAAATAGCTTCTTGCAGTGAGGATGGCAGCAGTGAAGATGGTCGACCTTTATAACGTGTGAACTGCTGACGGCTGGAGAAATCGTTGACCGAGAGTTCAATCGTAGGAGAGGTGATATTTAGCAATATTTTTCTATCGATCGTGTTTAAGGTATCACTATAGTCTAGAAAATGTATGCGTACAGCCTTGGTTTTCTTATCCAGGTTGGATAAAACAAAGTGGAAGAGATAAGCACGGCCATCCAGGGTACCGCGCGAATGGGTGTGTGCAAAATCGTGTAGGTCACCATCATTGAACTGTGTGGATAGGGTTTTAATCAGGGTGTTACAAGTGTTGTTCTTTTCCCTGCACCTCGGCAAATGGAGATTCCAGCGTGTAACTGCTAGTACGATTTAGTGTTTCGGTTGCGTCTGTGATTCGTTATTCGTAATCTGTGCCTACTTCGGCTACTAATTATATTCAACACTACAACCTTTGTAATATTTCACCGAACTTATTTTTGTTTCATTTGCACTGATTTGATCTTTGAACCCGTTCACATTTTGCCCCTCCCCCGGGCCGGATTGTTCATATTTAGTTTGTTGTTCAATATCTGCCTGATGTAGCGCTTATTTTCAATGATGAATAATTGATTTTACTGATATATAAATTCGCTTCATGTGGCAATCAGAATTGTGTTCCCTGTTTTCTCGATACACACGTATGATCTGCCCAATGTGCGAGGAAACTTGATGACCAAGCGTATTGAAGATGTTGCTAGTGATTCGAAGTCCGACCTCGATGTTCAACTTTCCAACCTCCAATCATCCCTCTTACCTGTTTTTCAGTCATCATGATCTCCGTTTCTATCCCTCAAGTTCAGAAATTTGTAAAAAACGTTTTGTGGGAAGTGGTAAAGAGGTCAGTCAAAGGGGTGTCACATGGTTGTAAAACAATTAGGTAGATGGTCGTGGTGGGTTCGGAACATTCAAACTTCCTCCTGCATACACTTTAGCCCTAGTGTTCAAACACTGAAGTAGTACTGAACAGTAAGAATCTTAATATCTTCTATTTCATCAAACTGCGTTTCCTGATTGGGTACACCCGAGCCCGCTGGTCATCCAACGTTCCCTCAATCGCGCCAGTAATTTGTGCAAGGTCAAAACTATTGCTCTGCAGCTACACGGAATGCTCAGGAACAAAGTGTACTGCACAGGGGTTAGAAAAGTTTCTCAGATATTAATCATTTGATTCTTTTTATGTGAGCGAGATGAGTAGGGAAAACGCGGAGGATGTATCGACGAGCTTGCACCATATGTTTCTAGTTAGCTACTGATATTTCTCAGCCCTTTGCCCCATGATGCTAGACATTGGATCCTCTAGGAGAGGCACAGGGGATTTCTCCTGCAAATCGGCCTACAAATGAATTCCCGCAATAATTAATGAATCAGTTTTACGCTTCTTCTTTTACACTGATCAGATTGAGTGTCAAAGAGTAGGTACGGTGAGAGTTGAGTTTGAACAGCGATCAGCTAAATCCGTATCGCACTCAGCTCTTTATTCTTTTACATCACCTGTTCCACACTGAACCAGTACTCCACACTCAAGCTTTGTCAGAAAGATAGAGCAACCTCGGATGGTGTGTGTGTGTGCAAGGAACATATAACCATTTAGACTAGATAGGACTTTATCCTATCATCCTAGATCTATGCAGTCTGGGACCACCTTTCATCCTTTCATCAGTTGTTTTTCTCACCTTTCATTTACTGTGAAACTGATGGTATCCCATCCTTCATTCTCTCAAACCATTGCTTCTATCAGAGTCCAATCTTTGTTACATCATTTCCCTCGCACAGACATCAAATGCTTAAAGAAAAAATTATTAAGGCTGATCAAAACTCTATCATTAGCCTGGACAACGAAAGCTGATGGACGTTATGTAATACCGTTTTTGATCTCACCATTTCGCTGGTTAGCTTCTGGCAATGGTTTTGTATGCTTTATCAGTAACACTTGATAACCGCCTAGAAACCCATTTGGGACCTTCAGAAACTTCGAAGAGTATACCGTCTCCCGGGAAAATGATCAATGCCCAATCTGCCCCCCCCCCAAAAAAAAACCCGTAGGCTAGATCTCAGTACTTTTCAATCATAGCACTCTCTCTCTGTTTGTGTAGTTGGAACGATGTGATTATTGTTTCACGCCAACACTGGTGTCCTTCGAGTCCCTAAATTTTCTCATTCCGATTTGTCTTCCTTTTCATGAACGATCTCTACCCAACTTGTGAATCTTTGTCGACCACAGATTCAGTTTATTCCTCGCCCCATATTCGTTCTGTTGCTCCAATGCGACCACAATCATCGCAAATCAGACAAGTCCCAATAGCTTACTCACCTCCTATTGGGGTTAACGCAACTATATTTGTTCACCGAGCCTTAGTGAAACCAAGTGCATGCGGATCTCTCTTTAAAAGCGAACCGTCATCTTGTCTAATATTTTTACGAACACATGAAATCCACATGGACTATGACTATCTTATATATATCCTATATTCTGTTCTGATTAGATTTTTATAGATTTTAGCAAACTTTAATTAATATTGGATCGACGTTTTGGTTCTTGTCAGTTTACATTCATCATTGTTTGCACAAAAACATCCAGAAAACGCGATTCGAACCCCATTACTATGCATAAACGAAGACAAAAATGGTATACTCTTTAACCAACGCATTAACATACATCATATAACACTGTCTTGGTCATCAAACAACCGTATAAGAACTGAACTGAGGATTTAAGCTTAACCTATGATAACCGGCAACCTAAACATTGGGACTTGAACGGGCGAACTGCATAAGATCCTCGGGGGAGAGGTAAGATATTGAGCCGGAAGATGCGGAACCGTTTTCCTCCCAAGCACATTAGCGACAACGACTTACAACGTCTGGCCAACACCGTCTCTACCATCAGCACTCACTGCTATTTAAATTATTGGAAAATCATGAGTTGCAACTAGAAAAAGGTACCCTCCTTTGCAGAGCAAAAGCAGAACAATAACACTTTAGTGAACACAAATGTATCAAAATAGCGTATTTCCAATCAACTTCAAAGGGTCCTCAGCAAAAAGCGGAATTATAAACAAGTTAATGTATACAAAAGTGAACAAAAGTAAAACTTGTTAAAAGCCGTGAATGTGAGCATCAAGTTCAAGCTATCTTGGTCCTATGATTGAACTGAATTTAATAGATATGTTGATTCTGTTCTGCCCTGATCCAACACTCGCGAATGCACACGCGCGCCTGAACACAGCCACAACTTCCGCACTCCTTCTATTTCGGTTCATTGTGCCGGTAATGGATCGCCTAGGACAAGAACACATTGGCTCAAAGGTTGTTGGATAGACGCGGAGGAAAGCAGATGTGGCGCAACAGGAATCGGATAAGTCTAGTTAGTTCAACTGGGCACAGACTGACATCTGGTCAAACTTGGATCACACTGGGGATAAGGTAACAAGTTGGTCGGTGGATTGGCCAGACCAGTGCTCACACATGCACAACGTGGAGCACGTCGACTAAGCTCGACCAAAAGTCTAGGATAGCGCGAAATAAGTTCTTTGCCATTCGGTCTAAAATGAAATAATAGAACCAAACGAATGTGTGAATAAATTAGTGCACGCCAATCAATCGCATTCTGCACATGAGCAACAGCAAAAATTCAAGAGCAACGTTTTTTTGTTCTCTAAACGATAAAGATGTCGTTGCAATGCATGCCAAACCCTATATCTGTCACGGGGTACTCCCGTTGTCTTTTCTCTTTTCCTTCCTTTGAAAAATAGACTAATAGACTATTCTGGTTTCGAGGAAAATCGCCACTTGGCAATCTACAACACATACACACACACGTATGCACGCGAGATAGATAGAGGGAGTTATTTTGAAAACAAAGCCAAAAGTTGTCCTGGGCTGCATGACCAACAGGTGGAATATGATCATCTGCATAACCTAAAATGATATTCAAATCCAAAGCAAATCAGAGAATAATATGCATCAGAAACGGATGAGCCGTCCCGCATGTTGATGAAATCAAAAAGCATATGGATTAAGAACACAAGGAAGACAACCTAATTTAATACGCTCTTGTTTTCACGCATGAAAAATTCACAGACAGTAGGATCTGGGTATTGATCGTGTCATGCCAATCTCCGTTGAAGGAAGTTATGGTCAAATGAGATCAATAGCCAGATCCCGATATCTGTATGCTCGCATGGACACGAGCGACTCCGTGCTGTAGTCAGGTGAATGCATAGTCCACAGCAATGCGAAGACTTGCAATCCGAGGCCTGGCCAGCGGGTAAGAAAGCAGTCAGAACGGGTACGCAATACTGACAAGTCCCAGAATGGAAGAAACAAGTGTGCAGTGCTAAGTTGTTCAGGGCAAACGAAACGGACCTTCCACTTGACTGCGAATTCAGGAGAAGCAGACAACACGTATGAATGAAAACTAACACACAATTTCGACACATAACTTACTTTATTTCATCGGGACATGTCACGTATGTGAGCTCTGTGTCGAAATCACGCATCTGTTGACAACGTGGAAACGTGACCAGCATCGTGATCTGATCTTCAATCATGTGCTCCCATGTGGTAAAGATCGATTTTGTGTAGGCAGTTGGATCACCCATGGGATCGAAATACAGGCCAGGAAGATGGCCTGTAAATCAGAAAAAGGTAAGAGAAAGTGAGCGATTAGGAATGATAGATTAAACTTGAACAACCAAACAGATTAAACAGTTACCCTAATCTATAGTTTAAAACATCGGTATTAACGTTTTTAACGGTATTGCTTTCTTTATTCGATGATGGTAGTGTGTTGCTGTTTGTTGTTGGTGGTGGTGGTGGGGGTGGTCGTCATCATCGTCGTCTTCGTCCTGATGAAGCAGTTCAAAACACCAAAACAGATGTGATTTGGTCCTTGAATTCTCAGGTTAGGGTTTGAGCACCTCAGGTTGGAGGAAGACAGAAAAACAGCACCCAACGCTAGGTTTATCAAGCTGGGGTTTTATCTGATAAATCGCTACCAGGTTCGGGGTTTAAGTGATCAATTTCAATGATAAAACATTAAGCTTCCCGAACTATGAGTTCCATCCTTTCTATGAGTCATCACAATTAGGTTTCCAATGGACAATTTGAATTCGCACAATTACTGTGTTGATTGCATGCAATCAATCGAAGACAATCAACGGATTTTGTTAGAAACTTGTCGTAGACCCTGAAATCATTTCAACGAATAAAGTCATCTAGGCATGCGTAAACTGCAGTGTTCCGGTTTAGTGTAAATTTAAAAAAAACACTAAAGACAGTATCTCACACGAACCAGCCACATAGAACGATTAATGGCACGTGGGTTTTTCTAGGTCATTCAACTTCGAATAAACAATCTGTGCATCACTCCGAATGAATTGATGTATAAAAGTGCCTGCTACCAACTGTGAACTGTAAACACTATCTACGATCGCTACAATAGTTGACATACCAACCAGTATGGAAAATGAACAATAGGACATCAGAAGCAACAACGGAAAAGCGGATGATAGATGAGAACACAACAGCCAACTGATCGCTAGCTGGCTGAAACTCGTTTGTCATTGACAAAGCTCATGGGAACAGAATGAAAGTGAAGGTGAGTGGCGCATTCCGCAAAGACGATCAATTCAGATCGTTTACGAGTTATTCTTTAAATATAGCTCCCGCAAATAACACTGAATTCATTGATTGATCCGACACGAAAGAACAAGGATAACGAGGAGAAGGAGAAGAGGAGTGGGGGACCATCCGGCTCACGAATCCAAAGGATCAGCCTTGTGAAAAGCACACCTGCACCTTCCAAACTCCACATCCAATTCAGGATTGATTTAGACAATTTATTGATAGATTAGAAGCACAGTCCCACCATAACGAATTTGATATAGATCCTTTGTTATCACTCCATAATACCACCGGAGAAATTCAACAGCAGCTCGTCTGGGAAAACGTTGTTCTCTAATTATTCAGATTATTATTCAATGCAGTTTGTTTGTGTCAGAAGCATCTGGCCGACATAATTAGCCATACAATCATCTCTACAGTTTCCCACCAACGGCAAAATGTGTCGAAAGTAGTAAATCTGTGGCAAATCACCCCGGTAGAAACCAATGACTCAAAGAGCCCATTGCTTAGTCATTGCAGTGGGCAGACTAATTTCTAAGATTTGGTGTAGTAAACCGATTAGATTCTGGTATTGAGTCAGATCACAGTTCAACTACTTAAGCTGATTCTCACCTCGGAGATGAAATACGATTAGAGGTCAATGACATCTCCCTTTAAACTGATTCACGTGGACAGTCAGTTTTTTAACCGTGGTGGGTGTTCCAAATTGCCGTTTATTCAACAAGCATATGCAAAAAAGAAATTAAGTGGCTAAATGATTATCAAAACTCAAAACTGCGAGCCATGTCCTATAACTCATTCCGGGAACGTGAGGCTGGAACTCGAGTGCGTTCGCTAGCAGATGAAACTGAAATCACATGTTGTTGGGACACCTCTTGATCCTCCCATAGGACATCACAGCGTTCGTAGTTTATGCGTCGTATGTTATTTCGGTGCAATTTCAAGAAATGGGATTGCCGTTCCGCTTGAATGTACTTTGGCTTCGTATTCCACATTCTGTCCGTCTTTCTGTTTTTGTCATGACACGCAGTTTACTAACATTCAGTCAATGCCGTACACCATAGTGATAAAACCGTTTCATTGGCCTCGTACGAGTGTTCGAACGTTCACCGTTCTCGAACTCCAACCAAAGCAGTCCTGACTATTTGACCTAATCCCGATGACCTGTGTCAACATCAGACAACATAGGTCTTCTATCTGTAGTCTAGACTTACTGAGAGAAAACAATCAGACTTGCGACATACCGGGTTGGATAGGATGAATGAAAACGAACGGAAGTGAACCTCTCATCACTCATAAGGCTGTCTTTCAAGAATGAATTATGAGTCGACCATG